TATATTTTCTCTATGTACCCATGGGTTCTCTTTGAGTGCTCGGTCCAAAAACATGGTGTATATAAATTTTCCTTAAAGGTATAGTGGAGGATGTTCTTTGTCCGGATGGATAATCAAAATAAGTCCTCCTAATTGTCAGGCCATCCTACGTGCTCGTCCCTATTTTCACTTCTGGTGAAGAATCTCACATAGTGGAGAAACAGCACATCTCCTTTTGGAAAATAAGCCTGTATGAGCAATGCAAACAGCAACTTTTAAACACAGCGTTCACGAGGAGAAATGGGCTTGTGCACGCTCTCACTGCATGTGCATTTTTTTTAAACGTTGAGAGGGCAGGTCTTTTCAACATTTCACAAAAATCCTCCGTTATACCTTTTAGTCTACGTAAGGGTAAACATGTTGACATGTTCTGTGTTATTAATGATGGACTGGTGACCTGTCCAAGGTGTACCAATCAGCTGCTTCCAGCCCAACTCCACCCAGATGCACAAGTATGAGACCATTTTTATTTTACAGTGTAACAAAATTCAAAATCTCTGTAAATGGATGATTTATATAATTCATATCTCAGCAGCTCCATGTCAGATGCTGATTTCAATGAAGCCAACAAGTCTTTGGGAAACCAGAGACTTGTTGTCAAGGGTCATACATATAGCACTTCATCTGTCTGAGAGCTGGAGCAGAGCTGATGTTTTGTCATGCCACTCATAAACAAGATAGTAGATATAAAGAGGGAAGAAAATGTTTTGCCACAGGGAAGTTAAAGTCCAAACTTTAATCTGAGATAGATACTATACCAAAAGAGCTTTGCAGTGACAAATAACACTTTTACAAGAAAATCTCATTTAAAAAGAAGATGTCTTTTATGAACTACTGGTATCCTAATATAAACTCATTTTTCATAATCTGAATTATAATGACATCCTAACTAAAAGATAAGGTAAATGTATCTTAATATAACTCATTTAGTCTCAGAGACTTAGTCTTAACTTTATTTATCCCTTGGGATTACTCCTTAAGGGAAATTCTGGTTCCAGTAGCCTATATAGAGTACAAAGAGTTAAAGCAAGATGCCATTAAAGATCAAAATTCAACAGACAATATAAAAGGATTGTATAAAGTGCAAAAAAAGCATTAAAAAAGTTGCAATGTCCTGGAATATGTTTCCTTTACATATAAAAATACCTGCTCAATAGAGAGCTAAGGAAAGGCTACACAGTAATTGACTTGGATTATTGCACTGCAGAACTCGTTTAGATTCAATTTAACTAATTAAGAAACAGAAAAACTTAAAGCTATTTCCTGGTGTTTCTGAATGATCATTTAGATTCGTGAGGTTAATGATAACTATGTTCTTACTCTTAAAGTTGTCTTGCTGTTGTTTTGTAACCTGGTGAAACTAGACTCTCTAATCCTGGCCTTGAAAATCAATTTTTGTTTCAGATGCTCAGTGTGCTTTGGAAGCTGTTGAAAGATTGCAAGCCAAACTGAAGGAGCGAGGGGAGGCTCCCACTCAGGAGAAACTGTCTGTGCTGAAGACTGTCCTGCAAAGCCCTCTCTTCCTGCACATACTCAGTTTGCAGAAAACTGAGCCAAAGCCCTCAGTGAAGGTATAGCACAAGCCTCAGTGTGTGGGTTTTTGTTTTATATTAAATGGTACAGTAGGGGAAAGAGGTAGATAAAATACTGAATTCAGGAAGCAAACTAGATGAGTAATCAGCTTACCTAAGCTTTACCCCTAAAGCTGTGTTAGAGTGTGGGAGGGATCGATGGTGCTTGTCATGATCACAAATTGGCAGAAAGTGTCTGTATTACTGTCATAAGCTATTACCTAATGTGTCATGTGTGTTTTGCAGGTGTCACTAAAGCATGATATAGAATAAAATCACCATCTGTATTTGCTAAGTCAGCTGCCCTATGCTTTTTGGTTTCCATTGTGTCTCCAAAGTTCTCCTGCTGAACATTTTCAACCTTTATGTTGTTTGTTAATGTTAAAACTTTAGGTTACACTTTTCATATACGCGATACTTAAAGAATATAGAAATGGAAATATTCTGTAAACGTACATAATTCAAAAATGACAAATTTAAAAAACATTTTGTAAGAAACACACTCCCCACATCACTTAAAAAAGTATATTAGTAAACATTTTATTTTTAGGTAGGTTTTTTTTTATTTCGATCTAAAGAATATTCATCAATTGATTGGATTTGTCAGTCTAATCTTACTTATGACAGCAGGGAAGCTAGAGCCTCAAAGGCTATGTAAATGTACTGATCTGAATTCTACTGAGGGACACATTTTTCCTATTGTCTTAAATAGGCATAGGTCAGTTACAGATTCTTATGGCATGGTAAAGTTAAGTCATAATACCCTGGTTTCAAAATACAGACGGTAAACAATGATTGTTTATTTACAGTAAATACATTAAAATTATAAATATTGTTAAAAAAGTACAACTATATTGCAGCTATACTATTGTTTTCTGTGTTTGCATAACGAGCCCCTAAATGCCCAGTTGTCAAGTGTTTTAATCAGTAGTTCTTGAAAAAGAAAGAAAAGGCAAAGAAAAAAGAAAAGGCAGCTCCAACTTAAATTGATTGATTTAATTGGTAACAAGTAATTGAATCAATTTGATCTTACTTAATACATTTCATTTATACATTAACAACTTAACATAAGTTGGGGAAACTTAATACAATTACTTGTTACCTATTGAAGCCATTGAATTACATTGGAGCACTTTTTCTTAAGAGTGATAACCACTCCTCACCCTACATAAAATTCCATCCATCCATCCATCCATCCATCCATCCATCCATCCATCCATCCATCCATCCATCCATCCATCC